GCACTATTCACAATCATGCCTTATAACATTGGAATTCCATCTGTTGTGAAAGAATGAGTTAAAACCTTTTTTCTTTTTTTAAATTTTCTAGAAAGTTTTAGTTATACTTCCATATGCATTTGTGGCCCCAGTGAAGTTGGCATTTGGGCATTCCAGCTGATGTTAAAGTAACAGGGCATTCAGCATGGTACATGAGCCCTTTTCTCCCCCAGGGTCAGAAATGCATCTATTAAAAAAAAAAAAAAAAAGGAATGCATCATTTTGAGAGGCAGCAGCATATGATGGCAGCTAAGAATGATGCAGGCCTAAACAAAGGGGAGTTTGTCCTTTTTGAAAGAATTAGAAGAATCTCTAAGCTGGTTCACTGGGTCCTTCTAAGTGGTGATGCACAGTCACAGCCAGGACCTTTCAGAACTGAGTTTTGCAGACATACAGCTCCTGTCTATTGTTAATGAGTCCTACATCTCAAGGAGTGGCCCCTGTGTGAGCCCACGAGACTTGATCCATTCTATGGGGGGACATTGCAGGTGAGAATGAGCACAGTAAGAGAGGAGAGCTGGCAGTGAAAAGTGGAGGGTTTGTGTAGTCAGCGCATGTCTACTAGAGGAGGGGGAAGAGTTGGTACCAGAAAGAGGCTTTTAAAAATAATCCTATTTTGGGCCAAGCATGGTGGCTCATGTCTGTAATCCCAGCACTTTGTAGGGCTGAGGTGGGCAGATCGCCTGAGGTCAAGGGTTCGAGACCAGCCTGGCCAACATGGTGAAACCCCATCTCTGCTAAAAATACAAAAATTGGCCAGATGCGATAGCATGTGACTGTAATCCCAGCTACTGGGGAGGCTGAGGCAGGAGAATCACTTGAACCTGGGAGGCAGAGGTTGCAGTGAGCCAAGATCATGCCATTGCTCTCCAGTCTGGACAACAGAGCAAGACTCTGTCTCAATTAAAAAAAAAAAAAAAAAAGATTCTGTTTCAGAAATATCAGTGAATGCTTAAACTCTGAGTGAAAGTTGCATGAGAGATAGGATCTTTACGTTATCTCAAAATTCCTTCCCAACATGGATGGACCTTTGAAACACTATGCTGAATACAAGAAGACAGATACAAAAGGCTGCATGCTGTATGATTCCAATGATATGAAATGTCTAAAATAGACAACTCCGTAGAAACAGCACATTAGTGGTTGCTGGGGGTTGGGGGAGAGGGGAATAGGGAATAGCTGCTTATTGAGTACAGAATTTACTTTGGGGGTGATGAAATGTTCTAGAACTGGATAGTGGTGATGGATATACAGCACTGAGAATGTCTTGTGTCTCATTTATACTAATAGTAAATTTTATGTGTATTTTACCAAATATCTCCTCTACAATTTTTTTTTTTTTTGACATGGAGTCTCACTGTCACTCAGGCTGGAATGCAGTAATATACTCTCAGTTCAATACAACCTCCACCTTCTGGGTTCAAGCAGTTCTCCTGCTTCAGCCTCCCCAGTAGCTGGGATTACAGGCATAAGCCACCATGCCTGGTTAATTTTTGTGTTTTCAGTACAGATTGGATTTCACCATGTTGGCCAGGCTGGTCTCAAACTCCTGGCCTCAGGTGAACCACCCACCTCGGCCTCCCAAAGTGCTGGGATTAACAGGCATGAGGCAGCACCCCCAGCCTTACAAATTATTTTTTAATGACAAAGGGGGAAATGTACAGTGAAAGAATCTGGCAGAACACAACCCAGTGATCAAAGTTAGCATCACCATGATGAGACACACTGGCATATAGAACCTCCTGGTGGAATCCATTAAGGGATCTATTGAGGGATCTTGTGCCGTTCCTGCTAAAAAAAAGCATAACCTGAATTGAATCATGAGGAAACATCCAACACAAATTTGAGGAACATTCTACAAGATAAATGGTCAATATTGTTTTTTGTTTGTTTGTTTTGGTTTTTTGAGACAAGATTTCACCGTGTTGGCCAGGCTGGTCTCAAACTGCTGACCTCAGGTGATCCGCCCTCCTCAGCCTCCCAAAGTGCTGGGATTACAGACGTGAGCCACTGCGACCGGCTGGCCAATATTCTTAAATAATATCAGTGCCATGAAAAACAAAGACAGGCCTGAGGAAGCGTCCCAGATTAAAGGAGACCAAAGAGACCTGAAACTAACATGCAGTGTATCATCTTGGACTGGTTCCTGGGGCAGGAAAAAGAAACCCATATAGAATATTATTGGGATAACTGGAGAAATTTGACTATGGACTGTAGATATGATAGTTATATTGTATCATGTTAAATTTCTTCATTGTTATCATCATAGTGTAAGAAAATGCCCAACGGGGAGCAGTGGCTCACGCCTGTAATCCCAGCACTTTGGGAGGCTGAGGCAGGTGGATTGCCTGAGATCAGGAGTTCGAGACCAGCCTGGCCAATATAGTGAAACCCCAGCTCTACTAAAAATACAAAACTTAGCCAGGCATGGCAGTGGGCGTCTGTTATCCCAGCTACTTGGGAGGCTGAGGCAGGAGAATCACTTGAACCTGGGAGGTGGAGGTTACAGTGAGCCGAGATCGTGCCACTGCACTCCAGTCTGAGTGACAGGGTGAGACTCTGCTCCAAAAAAAAGAAAAGAAAAGAAAAAGAAAATGTTGTTTTTCAGAAATACACACGAAAACATTTAGTTATAAAGAGATATGGTTTAGGCAACTTACTCTCAAGTGGCTCAGAAAAAAATGTGTGTGTGTGCATTAATCCATTTGAGACTGGGGCTACAATTTCATCCCAGTGAACAGAAAGTCTGATTTGCACTGTACTTCAAAACATTAAACTAGAAATTAACTTTTTTCCCAAGAAATTTAGTAACTATCTGGTCACAAATGATTGTAATGAAAGAAGAATGAACTAAGTGTTGATTTTAGGAGGCTGCATCTTCCAACCAGATCATTTGATGTGACATCTTCTCTTGACATTTGAGTTTTGTTGACCAAGATGATGGTCATAAAATACTCAAAGATGTTACCAATTTTCCCAAGTATGACTTTCAGTTGTTTTATATTTAAATCATTTTTTGAGTGCTTTTTCCTCATTTATTTGGAACTTGTCCAGCTTAGACAAGTCCTCATGTCTTCATGCCCTCAGTGGCTTTTCATCTGTTCTCCCTCAACATTTTCATCAACTTTGGACAACTGGAGTTCTGTTGTAAGATTTCCAATTCAGCCGGGTGCAGTGGTTCACGTCTGTAATCCCAGCACTTTGGGAGGCTGAGGAGGGTGGATCACCTGACATCAGCAGTTCGAGACCAGCCTGGCCAACATGGTGAAACCCCGTCTCTCCTAAAAATACAAAAATTAGCCAGGAGTGGTGGCGGGTACCTGTAGTCCCAGCTACTCAGGAGTCTGAGGCATGAGAGTCACTTGAACCTGGGAGCTGGGGGTTGCAGTGAGCCGAGATCGCATTGCCACACTCCAGCCTAGGAGACAAAGCGAGACTCCATCTCAGAAAAAAAAGATTTCCAGTTTCATTTTGCGGTTGCTTCCTGTTGCATATCATTCAAACTATCTTGCCAGAGTAAAGCATTACCCTGAAATTTCAGTGGTTTAACATCCAGAGGCTTATTTCCCCAATCATAATATCTGTCCAAGGTGTGAGGCTTCAACCTACTATATGGCTGTGCCATCCCCAGCTGGGGATTCATTCACTCTCCTTAGGGAGAGTGTGGAGAACTCATACCTGCTCTCCTGTGCATCAGCCTGGAAATGGTCGTGTTAAGTGGTTCTGGCCCATTGGTTAGAATTAGTCACGAGTTCCTAACCTAACTGCAAGGGAGTCCAGAAAATGTAGTCTTTCTGTATGATCCAAGAGGGGAAAATGAAATGGCAGCTTTCTGTCACATGTTGCATTTTTGGGGGGTCCACTGTTGTTCAAATGGGAATAGATATTAAGAAGAATGGTGTCTGAGTGGGCATTTATTTTATTTTTATTTTTATTTTTTTGAAATGGGGTCTTGCTCTGTCACCCAGGCTGGAGTACAGTGGTGAGATCATGGTTTATTGCTGCCTCCACCTCCTGTGCTCAAGCAGTCCTCTGCCTTAGCTCACCAAGTATCTGGGACCACAGGTATACGCCACAACACTAGGCTAGTTTTTAAATGTTTTGTAGAGATGGAGTTTTGCTCTGTTGACCAAGCTGGCCTCAAACTTCTGGCTTAAGCCATCCTCTTGCCTTGGCCTCCCAGAGTGGTGAGATTACAGGCATGAGCCACCATCCCCAGCTGGGGATTCATTTTATATGTGGTCAGATTATCAGGAAATATTTCTGTATTGTGATCGCTTTGGCTTTGTTATGAAGTAGGGGCTCTGATCAGGAATCCTCAGACAATGAGCTTCTGGGGCATGGGGAATCAGGAACAGCATCTTAGCACACACACAGCTACTCCTTCCTGCCCAAGAGGAGTGATGCTTTTCTGAATTAGGGCTTCTAATGCGTCCTCATCCTTCTCCTCCACAAGGAATATTTGGCTTCTGGATGCAACAGCAGACAGCCCCCCTCATGCCACACTTTTGTCTAGTAAAGTCTCCAGGTGAGAAAAGATGGGGAGAACTGGTTTTGCTTTTCTGAGGCCCCATGAAATGTTGCCTTTTTTTTTTTTTTTTTTTTAAGAGACAGGGTCTTGCTTTGTTGCCCAGGCTGGAGTGCAGTGGTACCATCATGGCTCACTGTGTCCTCTACCTCCCAGACTCAAACAATCTTCCTGCCTCAGCTTCCCAAGTATCTGGGACTGCAGGTATGACTACTATGCCCAGCTAATTTTCTTTCATTGTTTTTAGAGACAGTGTCTTATTATGTTGCTCGAGCTGGTCTCAAGTTCTTGGGCTCAAGTGATCTTCCTGCCTTCTCCCAAAGTTCTGGGATTCTAGGCAGGAGCCACCACGCCCAGCTAAAAGTTGTTTATTTTTTATTGTAATTTTGTTTTGTCATTGACAGATTTTGAATTTCTTTCTTACCCTCTTCAGCACATCCTGCTCTGGGATTTAAACGTGACCCCTCTCCTCGGCCTGCCCTGTGAAAATGTTGGTGCTTCTTGCTTTCATCATTGCCTTCCACATCACCTCCGCAACCTTGCTGTTCATCGCCACTATTGACAATGTAAGTCTGCTTTCCTGCCACTCATGCAGAACCCCGGGTCTTGGAGTTAATAGAATTGGGTCGTATTGGTCTATTCTCATGCTGCCTATAAAGGCATTCCAGAGACTGGGTACTTTATAAAGAAAATGAGATCTAATGGACTTACAGTTCCACGTAGTTGGTGGGGGGGGGGTGCTTACAATCATGGCAGAAGACGAAGGAGGAGCAAAGACATGTCTTACATGGCGGCAGGCAAGAGACTTTGTGCAGGGAAGCTGCCCTTTATAAAACCATCAGCTCTTGTGAGACTTATTCACTACCATGAAGACAGTATGGGAAAAACCCGCCCCTGTGATTCAGTTACCTCCCACCGGATCTCTCTCATGACATGGGAATTATGGGAACTACAATTCGAGATTTGGGTGGGGCCACAGCCAAAGCATATCACAGATTGAGAACCCTGCCAAGGTGATCACGATTTGGGGTTGTCCTCCCTGTGAAGGCATGACCAATCTTCTGAGCTAACACCTCAGGACTCTTGACCTAAATGTGAAGGCTCAGGGCATCCCATGTTCAGGCTTTGGTGGCAGGTCCTGGCAGGCAGGGGTGTTTGTCCTCCCATCCATGATTCTTCCATAGAGCCTGGCTCTAGGAAGCCCTTTGAGGACATTGTGTGACTTCAGCTTTCCTCTAGATCAGCGTTCTCAACCTGGTCACTATTGTCATTTTGGGCTGGATAATCCTTTGTTAATGGGGGCCTCCCTGTGTATTGTAGGAAGTTCAGCAACATCTCTGGCCTTATCCGCTAGATGCAGTAGCACCCTCGCTCCTGGTTACGACAATCCAAAATGTCTTCAGACATTGCCAAATGTCCCATGGAGAATAAAATCACCCTCTGTTGAGGACAGCTTCCCTAGATGTCCCAGGTGACCCATTCCAGGTGGCCTCTGCCCCAACCCTTGATATCTCCTTACCAACAAGGGTCCCTTGCTGCTAGTCCACCCAGCCATGTCCTCCCCAGCAGAGCTCAGGCCTGGAACTTTCCAGACTCTACCTATGCTCCTATGAAAAATTTAACATTTTCCTTTAGTATCCAGCTTGCAGCCATATGGCAGGAATGTATTGGACAAATAAATAACCTATTGTCATAGATTAATATCCCTCTAAGCAGGGAGTGATATTAGGGAAACTTCTTTTTATTTTTTTATTTTTGAGACAGAGTTTCACTCTTTCACCCAGGCTAGAGTGCAATGGCGTGATCTTGGCTCACTGCAACTTCCATCCCTCGGGTTCAAATGATCCTCCTGGCTCAGACTCCCGAGTAGCTGCGATTATAGGCATGCTCCATTACACCCAGCTAATTTTAGTATTTTTAGTAGAGATGAGGTTTCTCCATATTGGCCAGGCTGGTCTCGAACTCCAGACCTCAGGTGATTCTCTCACCTCGGCCTCCCAAAGTGCTGGGATTACAGGCGTGAGCCACTACGCCTGGCCTAGGGAAGCTTCTTAACAGAGCTTCTCTATGGCCTATATACCAATCTAAAGAGCTGGCTTCCGTTCTGCTCATTGTAGACTGCAGAGATAATTAAAGGGCAGAAACATTGCTCAGAAAGCCGAAAAGTGCACCGTAAGAGTGGTCATGAACTCTGCCTACATATGTGGCTCCTGTTGATGAATCATCATGATAGTAATAACATAAACGATAACACCTGTCACTTAGTGATCACTATGTCCAGGGCTCATATAAGCCCTTTTATGGATGTCATCTCATGTGATCCTCATACCAGGCAGGGGACCAGCATCTCCTTGCACTGGGTTATAGGTGAAGGAACTAAGCCTCAGGGCAGGCACTTGGCAGAGTTTACAGTGTAGTAAGCAGCAGAGCCAGGATTTGAGCCATTCCAGAGGCTACTGGTCCTAGAGCCTGTCAGGATAGATGAGTGCGGCCATTGCATTTGGGTTCTGGAGCTTCTTGCTGAGCTGCTGTAAGTGGCGTGGGCAGGGACCACATTGATGCCGTGGATTATAGCAGTGGTCCCCAATCTTTTTGGCACCAGGGACCAGTTTCATGGAAGACAGTTTTTCCATGGAGGGGGGAAGGGGACATTGCAGGAGGATGGTTTCAGGATGATTCAGGTGCATTCCATTTATTGTACACTTTATTATTATTGTTACCTTTTTTTTTTTTTTTTGAGATGGAGTTTTGCTCTGTTACCCGAGCTGGAGTGCAATGGCGCAATCTTGGCTCACTACAACCTCTGCCTCCTGGGTTCAGGCGATTCTCCTGCCTCAGCCTTCTGCTGCGTGGCCTGGTTCCTAACAGGCACGTGCCACCATGCTCAGCTAATTTTTTGTATTTTTAGTAGAAACGGGGTTTCACCATGTTGGCCAGGCTGCTCTCAAACTTCTGACCCCAGGTGATCCGCCCGCCTCGGCCTCCCAACGTGCTGGGATTACAGACATGAGCCACTGCGCCTGGCCACTTTATTGTTACTACATTGTAATGTATGATGAAATAATGATACAGCTTGTCATAATGTGGAATCAGTGCAGCCCTAAGCTTGTTTTTCTGGACTAGGCAGTCCCATGTGGGGGTGATAGGTGACAGTGACAGATCATCAGGCATTAGATTCTCACAAGGAGCGTGCAACCTAGTACCTGGCATACACAGTTCACCATAAGGCTGACACTCCTGTAAGAACCTATTATCCCTGCTGACCTGCCAGGAGGCAGAGCTCAGGTGGTGATGTGAGTGATGGGGAGGAGCTGTAAATACAGATGAAGCTTCCTCTGCTGGCTGCTCACCTCCTGCTGCGTGGCCTGGTTCCTAACAGGCCACAGAGCGGTACCAGTCCATGGCCCATGGGTTGGGGACCCCTGGATTATAGTATTTGGACTCACCATTCCCAGAGCTTACTGTGAAATAAATGGGACCCAAAGTTCTTTCCAAATCTCCTTTTTCTATTTCTTCCCATCTAGTCCTTTGGGATCCTGAAAAGACCCCAGACAGTGGAAAGGATAGACAGACATTAGGGGCAGGAAAACCATTGCCTTAGTGAATCCTATCCAGCACCGTCAGGGCATGGACATTATCATGGCGCATTCTGAGAAGACGCAGGTGGACTTTTTGTCCATCAATGAGCCTGAGGGTATTCATTATGAGTTTGGAATTGTGGCTGGGCGCGGTGGCTCACATCTATAATCCCAGCACTTTGGGAGGCTGAGACGGGTGTATCAGAAGGTCAGGAGTTCAAGACCAGCTTGCCCGGACATCATGGCAGGCGCCTGTAATCGCAGCTACTTGGGAAGCTGAGGCAGGAGAATTGCTTGAACTCAGGAGTCGGAGATTGCAGTGAGCCAAGATCACGATACTGCACTCCAGCCTGGGAGACACAGTAGGACTGTCTCCAAAAAAAAAAAGAGTTTGGAATTGTGCTTGGCATTATGGCTGGCGCACAGTGGGAGCTCAGGGAATATTGACTGGATGGATGGGTATGGGGAGTCTAGTCTGGGCGACTGGAAAGTAGAAGGAAGGCCATCTTGGGCAGTTGGGGCATGGCAGCAGCCACCAAAGCACAGAAGGAAATGAAAGCTTTGGGCTGAAGACAGGAGAATCCTGTCTCGTCATCCCATCCATTGCAGTGTTTGTTTGTTTGTTTAAACAGGGTCTGTCTCTGTCACCCAGGCTGGAGTACAGTGTTGCGATCACAGCTCCCTGCAGCCGCTACTGCCCAGGCTCAGGCGATCCTCCCACCTCAGACTCCTGAGTAGCTGGGACTACAGTCACACACCACCACACTTGACTAATTTTTTGTATTTTTTTGTAGAGATGGATTGCCCTAGCTGGTCTCAAACTCCTGGGCTCAAGCAATCCTCCCGCCCTGGCCTCCCAAAGTGCTGAGATTACAGGCGTGAGCCACTGTGCCTGGCCCTGTCTGCTATTATTTCCACTAATTCAGCATCATCTTTTCATTCATTCTCTCTGAGGGCCTGGACCACCTCTTGTCCTTTGGCAGACATTAGCAGGGCATCATCTGAAGCTGGTTAGAAATGTAGAATCCCAGCTGGGCGCATTGGCTCCTGCTTGTAATTCCAGCACTGTGGGAGGCTGAGTCAGGCAGATCACCTGAGGTCAGGAGTTCAAGACTAGCCTGAAAATATGGTGAAACCCTGGCTCTACAAAAAATACAAAAATTAGCCAGGCATGGTGGTGTATACCTGTAGTCCCAAGTACTCAGGAGGCTGAGGGGGGTGGATTGTTTGATCCCAAGAGATGGAGGCTGCATTGAGCCAAGACTGCACCACTGCCCTCCAGCCTGGGCAACAGAGCGACACTGTCTCAAAAAAAAAACAAACCAAAAAACGAAAAGAAAGAAATGCAGAATCCTAGGCCCCACCCCAGACCTCCTGAGTCAGTCTGCAGTAAAACAAGCTCCCCAGGCGATTCTCACGTGCGCTGCGGTTTGAGAATCCCAGAAGCCCACCATGCCTCATGCCTAATTAGGAGTCAGTGTTTGCATCACTAATGGACAGCCTTTCTCTCTGTTTTCATTTTGTGTTATAGGCCTGGTGGGTAGGAGATGGGTTTTCTGCAGATGTCTGGAGAATATGTACCAACACCACGAATTGTACAGTAATCAATGACAGCTTTCAAGGTGAGTATGAATGAAGGAAGCTGACTGAGAAGCACTGAGTGAGGAAGGAACGTTCCGGAGTTAGGCTTCAGGTTCTCCGACCCCACACCCTCTCCCCCCCTTGCTGGAGGGTGCCTGGCCACGTTTGCTTGGTGTGTGCCAGAGCAAAGGACAGCACAAGCTGGAGGTGGGAGGGGTGTAGAGAAGCCGAGACTGGAGTGGGACCAAGTCCGCTAAGTTGGGCCTCATCCCTTCTCTGTCTCTTGGAAACACAGTTTCCCTTCCTCATCGTTTCTCCAGCTTCCGCTGTCATCTAGAATTTTCCCTACCCTCCTTTTTTTATCCAAGCCTCACCTCTAAATAGGCTCAGAGACCATAATTTACTCTCCAATCGCTTTTTCCCCTCCAGCGGTAAGAAATCTGAGATCTGGCGGGGTGCAGTGGCTCATGCCTGTAATCCCAGCATTTTGGGAGACAGAAGTGGGTGAATCACCTGAGGTCAGCAGTTTGAGACCAGCCTGACCAATATGGCAAAACCCTGTCTCTACTAAAAATACAAAAAATTAGCTGAGTGTGGTGGTGCATGCCTGTAATCCCAGCTACTGGAGAGGCTGAAGCAGAAGAATTGCCTGAACCCAGGAGGCAGAGATTGCGGTGAGATCGTGCCGATGTACTCCAACCTGGGTGAGAGTGAAACTGTCTCAAAAAAAAAAAAATTCCAAGATCTGGCTTCTGTTCTTAGGAACAAGCCATGTGGCCTCACATTGGGCTGGTCAATTTCAGCATCCTCAGCCATAGAACAGAAGTAATGATGCCCTTGCTGTGCCTACCTCTTCAGTGAGCTAAAATACGTGAAAAGGCCTTGAAATACAGAAAATCCATTCAAAAACATGCTGGCCACTGTCTTCCATTATGAAGCGAATGGTTCTGTTTTTCCTCATAGAACTAATGGAATAGGTACTTTGGGATCCCAGTTGCCTGATAAAATACAGTATACACAGTTAAATTAGAGATTTCAGATAAACAGTAAGTACTGTATTTAGTATGACTAAATACCAAATCTTCTTTTATTTTTTTTTGAGACAGAGTCTCGCTCTGTCACCCAGGCTGGAGTGCAGTGGTGCGATCTTGGCTCACTGCAGTCTCCGTCTCCCGGTTTCAAGTGATTCTCCTGTCTCAGGCTCCCAAGTAGCTGGGATTACAGGCGTACACCACCATACCCAGCTAATTTTTGTATTTCTAGTAGAGATGGGCCCTACAAGATTTTGTATTTTTAGGGGTTTCACCATGTTGGTCAGGCTGGCCTCTTAACTGTTGACCTCAGGTGATCCACCCACCTCAGCCTCCGAAAGTGCTGGGATTACAGGCATGAGCGACCATGCTTGGCCTGACTGTGCCCTGAGTATTACTATAACATGGTACATGTTTATATTAAAAATTACTTTTTTTTGTTGGTTGATGGGGAGGTTAGTCTTTTTTTTTTTTTTTTGAAACAAGGTCTCTTTCTTTTACCTAGGCTGGAGTGCAGTGGTGCCATCATGACTCACTGCAGCCTTGACCTCCTGGGCTCAAGTGGTCCTCCCATCTCAGCCTCTCAAGTAGCTGGGACTACAGGCACTCACCAAATTGCTCCACTAATTTTTGTAATTTTTGTAGAGATGGAGTTTCACCATGTTGTCCCCAGGCTGGTCTTGAACTCCTGGGCTCAAGCGATCTGCCTACCTCAGCCTCCCAAAGTACTGGGATTACAGATGTGAGCCACCGTACCTGGCCTAAAAATTATTTGTTGCTATTAGATATTGATTTACTGAGCACCCTGTCTTTTTTGTTTTGGTTTGTTTGCCAAATCTGACAATCCTGTTAGGGGGCAAAGGAGCCTATGCCCTGGGTCCCAGATTCCCACCACACTCAGTAACAATACCCATATTCATCATAAAAGCAACAAAAATACCAGTAGAAGTCACCGTTTACTTAAAGTTTGCTGTGAGGCATGTCTAAGTCCTTTACATACATGATCTCATAGCTCTGTCAGGCAGGGACCATAGGCCCCATTTTAAAATGGGGGAACTGAGGCATAGAGCAGTTAAGTTACCCAAGGCCACATAGCCAGGAGTGAATGATGTAGGCAGAGGATTCCAGTCTAGATGTGACCAACTCTAAAGCCTGTGCCTGTAAGCACGGAACAGCATCGGTCTCCCTTCCGTCTCAGTCTGTTCATCGGTCATGCTAACCTCTGGCCCTGGGACAGCCGTCCTTCCCTGTGCTCTGCAAGCCCCAGCTGTCGCCAGTGTGCGAGGCCAGCTGGGAGGGCTTGCTGGACTCTGTGGCTGTGTTTCCCAGCCTCTGTGTTCTGCATCTTCCACATGGGATTATTTACTTATTTTTCCTTAAAACAGTCTGGTGAACCACTGGCCAAATTCAGTCCAGGGCCTATTTTTGTTTGGCCCAGGAGCTAAGGACAGTTTTTACATTTTTAAAAGTTGTATAAACACACACACACACACACACACACACACCCCTAAAAACAAAACAAAAAGAACATTTGACAAGAGACCAAAACCTAAAATATTCACTGTCTATCCTTCTACTGAAAAAGGTTGTCAACTTTTTTTACTTTAAAAAGCTTACTTTTAAAATAGCCCACTTTCTGTACATAAATCTACTGTGTTTATTTATGTAGTAGAGACAGGGTCTTGCTATGTTGCCCAGGCTGGTCTCGCATGCCTGGCCTCAAGTGATCCTCCCACCTTGGCCTCCCAAAGTGCTTAGATTTATAGGCAAGAGCCACTGTGCCTGCCCATAAGTCTTATTTTATTTTATTTTATTTTTCGAATCAGGGTCTCGCTTTGTCACCCTGGCTGGAGTACATTGGTGCATTCATGGCTCACTGTAACCTCTGCCCCCCAGGTTCAAGTGATCCTCCCACCTCAGCCTCCTGAGTAGCTGGGACTACAGGTGTGTGCCACCACACCCAGCTAATTTTTTGGTATTTTCTGTAGAGACAGGGTTTCACCATGTTGCCCAAGCTGGTCTTAAACTCTTGAGCTCAAGCGATTCACCTGCCTCGTCCTCCTAAACCATAAGTCTATTTTAAAGAGAACTTCACGTCCCTCCCATGAGTGATAAACTACTATCACTTGCCTTTTAAAAGAAGGGAAGCTTTCTGAAAATACTAGATTGAAAGCCCAATGATGTTATTACAGTCTAGTCAGACACACTTCCCTCCTGAAGCCTCCTGAAGCTTCTTGTCCTTTCCATGTTAAAAAACAAACAACCTAAAATACCTAGATATTAGCAGGTGTTTTAAAGCACTAAAGCAGCCGGTGGAGAAGGACCTCCTTGAGATCCTTAGAGGAAGTGGACAACTCCTCTTTGAGGTCCTTAGAGGAATTTATTTATTTATTTATTTATTTATTATTTATTTGAGATGGAGTCTCACTCTGTCACCTACGCTGGGATGCAGTGGTGCCATCTCTGCTCATTGCAGCCTCCGCTTCCTGGGCTCAAGCTATCCTCCCGCCTCAATGTCCTGAGTAGCCAGGATTAGAGTTGTGTGCCGCGCCAGGCTAATTTTTGTATTTTTATTAGAGACGGGGTTTTTCCATGTTGGCCAGGCTGGTCTCAAACTCTTGACCCTTAGGTGATCCACTCACCTTTGCCTCCCAAAGTGCTGGGATTACAGGCATGAGCCACTGCGCCCACCCCTTAGAGAATTTAAACAGAGCAAAGTGAGCATCCCTTTCGTTCAGTGAGTTTTTGTGGTTTCCCGTCCTCATTGGGTTCCACACACACTGATCTCAGGGGCTGCCTTGTGGGCACATCCTGCACCCCCTCCCAGCTTTGAGAAACCCTGTTCTAGAAACATATATTCATCCTTTCCCCTAAAGACATGTTTTTCCCGTTTGCCCCATCATGGGTCACTTGTTGCTGAAAATACAGATTCCTGGTCCCCACTCCAGGGCAATGGTAGCAGAATCTCCAGGGGGAGAGGCTTGGGAATCTGTATTTTTAATAAGCAATCCCAAGCGATCCCTGGGACTGGGCAGGTTTGGGAAGTACTCCTGTAAGCCAGAGGGTCACCATTTGATCCCACATTGGAATTTCCTCTGTGGCTTTACAAAGCCCTGATGCCTGGTCTCCATGCCCGACATTCTGATGTATTTCATCTCAGGAGAGCGTGCTGGGTTTGTTTTCTTTCTCTCTCTCTCCCTTCCTCCCTCCCTTCCTCCCTCCCTCCCTCCCTTCCTTCCTTCCTTCCTTCCTTCCTTCCTTCCTTCCTTTTCATTCCTCTTTCTCTCTTTCTCTCTTTCTTTTCTTTCTTTTTCTTTTTTAATGGAGTTATAATTTACAAACAAGGAAATGCAGGCTTCTTAAGGGCTCAGTTTGATGGGTTTTGACAATTGTATAAATACCCATGTAACCACCATCCAAAAGATGACAGAGAACACTCCTAGCTCTCCAGAAAGTTCCTTGGGCCCCCTTCCACACAGTTGCCACTGCCTTCTGCCCCGATGGCAACCACTTCTGACTTCTGTCACTATCACTCACTTCCACCTGTTCCTGGGCTTCATAGGAATGGGGTCATGTGCTGTGTGTGATATAGGGGAGCCGGTCTGACTTCCTTTTCTCCCCATAAGGAATTGGAGGAGAGGGTAGATGTTCTCCAAGTAACCATGATGTGCAGCCAGGATGAGTTAAATCCACGCCTCTAAATGTTTCATTAAGCACTTACAGATTGTGTTCGCTCCAATGAGTTTTCAGGTAAAACTGCAAAATTAAAAAAAAAAAAGTAAAAGGAAAGTGTGTCCTTAGATTTTCTGTGCTGCGTGAACACTGTTCCCTCTCCTTGTCTTTTGGCCTCATCCTGGAGGTAACATTCAACCTTCAGCTCTTTTTTTTTTTTTTTTTGAGTTGGAGTTTCGCTCTTGTTGCCCAAGCCGGAGTGCAATGGGGCGCGGTCTTGGCTCACCACAACCTCCGCCTCCTGGGTTTAGGCAGCTCTTTTGTCTCAGCCTCCCAAGTAGGTGGGGTTACAGGTATGTGCCACCACGCCCGGCTAATTTTGTATTTTTAGTAGGGATAGGGTTTCTCCGTGTTGGTCAGGCTGGTCTCGAACTTCCGACCTCAGGTGATCCACCTGCCTCAGCCTTCCAAAGTGCTGGGATTACAGGTATGAACCACCATGCCCCGCCCAACATTCAGCTCTTAAACAGGACTCCCACCTTGCCTACACCATCTAAACCCCCTTACATAGATGAGTTCTCCCTCCCTTCCCAGCCCAGTGAGGGAGGAGCTATTAGTGTCCCCATTTTAGAATTCAAGATCAGCGTGAGCAACATAGGGAGACTGTCCCTACAAAAATTTTCTTTAATTAGCCAGACATGCCTGTATTCCCAGCTACACAGGAGGCTGAGGCAAGAGGATCACTTGAGCCCAAGAGTTCAAGGCTGCAATGAGCTATGATTGTGCCACTGTACTCCAGCCTGGGTGTTAGAGTGAGACTTTGTCTCAAAAAAAAAAAAAGTATTCCCATTTTACAGGTGATGAAACTGAGGCCCATGAAGGTGGCTGTAACCCATGTGCAGGACGCTTTCCCTACACCACATAGCTTTCTACACATAGCTTCACTGTGACCTGCCCCCAGGTGACACCCTCCACCCCACACCTCCCTTCTCCACTGAAACTTCTCTGTACTGAGCCCCAAACCCTCACACCCCAGTCTGTGTTAAGGCTGACCTGAAAGAAAGGAGCTCTCCTCCTCTTCGTAGGTAGTGACCATTAAGATCACTTATTTGATTAAGATCAGCCTCTGAAATCTGCAGGCTACTATGGAGTCTGCAGAGCACTTCCACAAGGTCACTCGGTCTCATGAGCCCCAGGTCTGTGAGAATCCCTCTCTAAAATGTGGACCCCTAAGGCCCCATCCTGAGTTCTTGAGTCAGAATCTACCACGTTGGAACCTGGGATTAGTACTTGAAAAGAATCCCCTGGTCAGGCGCGGTGGCTCACGCCTGTAATCCCAGCACTTTGCGAGGCCAAGGAGGGTGGATCACGAGGTCAGGAGATTGAGACCATCCTGGCCAACACGATGAAACCCCTTTTCTACTAAAAATATAAAAATTAGCTGAGCGTGGTGGCGCGTGTCTGTAATCCCAGCTGCTCGGGAGGCTGAGGCAGGAGAATAGCTTGAACCAGGGAGTTGGAGGTTGCGGTGAGCTGAGATTACACCACTGCACTCAAGTCTGGCAACAGAGTGAGACTCCATCTCAGAAAAAAAAAAAAAATGCTCTGTTCATGACTCAAGCATTTGAAGGCCGTGACCCAGACCAGGAAGAATGCAGAGCAGGTGGTCCTCTCGCTCTGTCTTCCAAATAAGGGTGTCGAGGGTTGTCCTGTCAAACGGACCCTGTAGGTGAGGGGCAGGAGCCTGGAAGACTCTTTGCCTTCCCTTGTGCTCACACCATGTAGATGCCAGCCTGAACCCCTGCCTGTCTGCCTCCTGCCACCCCCATTCTGGAGCTGCTGGGGTCACTGTGCACCCTGCAGTGCCGGCTGGCCAAGGTCCTCAGTCCTGCGCCCCCGCCCTTTTCCCGCAGAGTACTCCACGCTGCAGGCGGTGCAGGCCACCATGATCCTCTCCACCATTCTCTGCTGTATCGCCTTCTTCATCTTCTTGCTCCAGCTCTTCCGCCTGAAGCAGGGAGAGAGGTTTGTGCTAACCTCCATCATCCAGCTAATGTCATGTAAGTAAGTCGACCGGCTTCCCTAACGAGGGGCTTTCTGGAGTAAGCACTCCTTCCCAGCCACCAGGAGGAGGGAGGATTTGGAAAGGAGAAATTGGCAGCCGTGCAGTGCTGTGTGCTTACCTATATGTGTGTGTGCACGTGCATGCCGTACTGCAGTGGGACGTTTTATATGCGGGAGTTTGGATTTAGTTGGGAGTCCAGGGAAGGCGTCCTGAAGACCTGAAGCCAGAGGATCTGTAGGGTGAGTACAAGTTGCTGTCCACAGTGTTCTGTCTCAGTACAGAGAGGAGGGAATAGCGTCCTGGGTGGAGGGAACAGCATGACGGAAGCCCTGTGATGCGAGGGGTGGAGAGCTGCCCAGTGGGGCTGCAGCGCAGTGGGAAGTGGGAAATGAGCCAGAAGAGCAGGCAGGGCCACACCCCATGGAGTCTTGCAGGTCTTAGAAAGGATTTGGGGTCTTTGTCCTAAGCTGATGGGAAGCCATCAACAGGTTTCAGGCCTGTGCTGGCTGCAGGGGCTAAAGAGATGAACACGGCACTGCCTCCGTCCTAGAGGAACTCAGAGGAAGCAGAGGTCTCGGAGCCTTTTTTTTCTGCTTAGGAATTTTGGCAAGGCTGAAGTCAGATCAGAAGTAAGAAGCCAAGCATGATCATTTGTTGTTTCTCAGTGATGATTTAAAGTGTTCTGATCACAAAAGGCAGAAGTCCCTTGTAGGGTGCTTTTCAATCAGGAGTTAACAGGTGGCTTAATGAAGGCAAGTAATCTGGGTGTCAGAGCCAGCTTAGGCTGCTTGGCTGTCACCACCATAACTGCCACCTCCGTGCAGCCCTCCACTTCACAGGCGAGGGTCAAGTCCAAACCTGCCATGCCCTCAGGATGACCCTGAGATGAGTCATCAGCGCGGTGCAGTGACAACTTGTTCTAGTTTGCCTGGGAACATCTGTTTTAAACCAAAAAGTCCTGGCCAGGCGCAGGAGCATTTTGGGAGGCCGATGCAGGAGGACTGCTTGAGCCCGGGAGTTCAAGACCAGCCTGGGCAACATAGTGAGAAAAAAAAAAATTAGCCATGCATGGAGGAGCACAACTGTAGACCCAGCTACTCAGGAGACTGGAGTGGGAGGTCATCTGAGCCTGAGAGGTGGAGGCTGCAATGAGCTGTGGGGTGCTGTACCATTTGTATAAGTCCATTCTCACACGCTGATAAAGACTTACCTGAGACTGGGTCATTTGCAAAGGAAAGGGGCTTAATGGACTCATACTTCCACATGGCTGGGGAGGGTTCACAGTCATGGTGGAAGACAGAGGAAGAACCAAGGGACTTCTTCCACAGTGGTAGAGAGAGTGTGTGCAGGGGAAATGCCCTTTATAAAACCCTCCCATCTCGTGAGACTTATTCACTTCCACGAGAACAGTCTGGGGGAACCACCAGCCCCATGATCCAATTATCTCCCCTGGCCCTGCCCTTGACATGTGGGCATTATTACAATTCAAGGCGAGATTTGGGTGGGGACACAGCCAAACCGTATCACCACTGCATCCCAGCCTGGGGGATAGAATGAGACTCTGTTTCAAAAAATAAAGTAAAATAAACGGAAAGTCTCGCATCCTAGGAAACCCCAGTCCAGGGCAAAGTTGGGGGGCTGGTCACACTCAGCGTTCTCTCCCGTTGGGACATCTTAACTGGACATCCGGATACCACCCTTCTAGGTACAGGCAGAGAATGAAAGTGTTTTCAAGTGCAAAAGACTCCAGAGGGTCACTTATCTTGAGACCCCTCCTCCCCCGCCCCGCCAAGTCCACCACAGCCCTTCTGGGGACTTTTCTAAAGTGCAGACTCCCAAGGCCCCAGCCTGCCCTCTTGAATCAGTCTGCAGGGTTAGAGCCTGGGGATTTGTACTCTTGTCCCTGAGCCAAGCATTGGGGAACAATAACCCAGACCAAATGAGGCCTAAGGGAGAATGTGACCTTCCCGAGGACCCCGGGCGAGGTAGCGAGGAGGTGCCTGATCCCCCTCCTTTACTGTCTCTGTATCTGCCAGTTAGAGGCATGAACCCTCCACCCTCACCGACCCCACTAAAGGCAATTGAATCCTGTCATTTAAGTTGTGGGGAGCAAGGGGGCTTAGGCAGTTACTAACTGAAGTCTTTTCTTTTTTCTTTTTTACTTTCTTTCCCTTTCTCTCTCTCTCTCTCTCCTCTTTTTTTTTTTTTTTTTGAGACGGAGTTTCGCTCTTGTTACCCAGGCTGGAGTGCAATGGCGCGATCTCAGCTCACCGCAACCTCCGCCTCCCGGGTTCAGGCAATTCTCCTGCCTCAGCCTCCTGAGTAGCTGGGATTACAGGCACGTGCCACCATGCCCAGCTAATTTTTTGTATTTTT